GAGAAGAGAAAGAAGAGAAGAGAAGAGAAGAGAAGAGAAGAGAAGAGAAGAGAAGAGAAGAGAAGAGAAGAGAAGAGAAGAGAAGAGAAGAGAAGAGAAGAGAAGAGAAGAGAAGAGAAGAGAAGAGAAGAGAGAGAAGAGAAGAGAAGGAAGAGAAGAGAAGAGAAGAGAAGAGAAGAGAAGAGAAGAGAAGAGAAGAGAAGAAAGAGAGAGAAGAGAAGAGAAGAGAAGAGAAGAGAAGAGAAGAGAGAAAGAGAAGAGAGAGAAGAGAAGAGAGAGAGAGAAGAGAAGAGAAGAGAAGAGAAGAGAAGAGAAGAGAAGAGAAGAGAAGAGAAGAGAAGAGAAGAGAAGAGAAGAGAAGAGAAGAGAAGAGAAGAGAAGAGAAGAGAGAGAAGAGAAGAGAAGAGAAGAGAAGAGAAGAGAAGAGAAGAGAAGAGAAGAGAGAGAAGAGAAGAGAAGAGAAGAGAAGAGAAGAGAAGAGAAGAGAAGAGAAGAGAAGAGAAGAGAAGAGAAGAGAAGAGAAGAAGAGAAGAGAAGAGAAGAGAAGAGAAGAGAAGAGAAGAGAAGAGAAGAGAAGAGAAGAAAGAAGAGAGAAGAGAAGAGAAGAGAAGAGAAGAGAAGAGAAGAGAAGAGAAGAGAAGAGAAGAGAGAAGAGAAGAGAAGAGAAGAGAAGAGAAGAGAAGAGAAGAAGAGAAGAGAAGAGAAGAGAAGAGAAGAGAAGAGAAGAGAAGAGAGAGAGAAGAGAAGAGAAGAGAGAAAGGAAGAGAAGAGAAGAGAAGAGAAGAGAAGAGAAGAGAAGAGAAGAGAAGAGAAGAGAAGAGAAGAGAAGAGAAGAGAAGAGAAGAGAAGAGAAGAGAAGAGAAGAGAAGAGAAGAGAAGAGAGAAGAGAAGAGAAGAGAAGAGAAGAGAAGAGAAGAGAGAGAAGAGAAGAGAAGAGAAGAGAAGAGAAGAGAGAGAGAGAAGAGAAGAGAAGAGAGAGAAGAGAGGAAGAGAAGAGAAGAGAGAGAAGAGAAGAGAAGAGAAGAGAAGAGAAGAGAAGAGAAGGAAGAGAGAGAAGAGAAGAGAGAAGAGAAGAGAAGAGAAGAGAAGAGAAGAGGAAGATGCAGAAGGAGAAGAGAAGAGAGAGGAAGATAAGAGAGAGAAGAAAGAGAAGAGAAGAGAAAGAGAAGATAAGAGAAGAGCATAGAAGAGAAGAGAAGAGAAGAGAAGAGAAGAGAAGAGAAGATAAGATAAGAGACGAGAAGAGAAGAGAAGAGAAGAGAAGAGAAGAGAAGAAAGAGAAGAGAAGAGAAGAGAAGAGAAGAGAAGAGAAGAGAGAAGAGAAGAGAAGAGAAGAGAAGAGAAGAGAAGGAAGAGAAGAGAAGAGAAGAGAAGAGAAGAGAAGAGAAGAGAAGAGAAGAGAAGAGAAGAGAAGAGAAGAGAAGAGAAGAGAAGAGAAGAAGAGAAGAGAAGAGAAGAGAAGAGAAGAGAAGAGGAAGAGAAGAGAAGTAGAAGGAGAAGAGAAGAGAAGAGAAGAGAGAGAAGAGAAGAGAAGAGAAGAGCAAGAAGAGGAGAGAAGAGAAGAAGAGAAGAGAAGAGAAGAGAAGAGAAGAGAAGAGAAGAGAAGAGAAGAGAAGAGAGAGAAGAGAAGAAGAGAAGAGAAGAGAAGGGAAGAAGGAAGAGAAGAGAAGAGAAGAGAAGAGAAGAGAAGAGAAGAGAAGAGAAGAGAAGAGAAGAGAAGAAGAAGAGAAGAGAAGAGAAGAGACAGAGAGAAGAGAAGAGAAGAGAAGAGAAAGAAGAGAAGAGAAGAGAAGAAGAGAAGAGAAGAGAAGAGAAGAGAAGAGAAGAGAAGAGAACGAAGAAGAGAAGAGAAGAGAAGAGAAGAGAAGAGAAGAGAAGAGAAGGAAGAGAAGAGAAGGAGAAGAGAAAGAAGAGAAGCAAGAAGAGAAGAGAAGGAAAGAAGAGAAGAGAAGAGTAAGAGAAGAGAAGAGAAGAGAAGAGAAGAGAAGAAGGAAGAGAAGAGAAGAGAAGAGAAGAGAAGAGAAGAAGAGAAGAGAAGAGAAGAGAAGAAGAGAAGAGAAGAGAAGAGAAGAGAAGAGAAGAGAAGAGAACGAGAAGAGAAGAGAAGAGAAGAGAAGAGAAGAGAAGAGAAGAGAAGAGAAGAGAAGAGAAGAGAAGAGAAGAAGAGAAGAGAAGAGAAGAGAAGAGAAGAGAAGCGAAGGAGATAGAGAAGAGAAGAGAAGAGAAGAGAAGAGAAGAAGAAGAGAAGAGAAGAGAAGAGAAGAGAAGAGAAGAGAAGAGAAGAGAAGAGAAGAGAAGAGAAGAAGAGAGAGAAGAGAAGAGAAGAGAAGAGAAGAGAAGAGTAAGAGAAGAGAAGAGAAGAGAAGCGAAGAGAAGAAGAGAAGAGAAGAGAAGCGAAGAGAAGAGAAGAGAAGAGAAGAGAAGAGAAGAGAAGAGAGAAGAGAAGAGAAGAAAGAGAAGAGAGAGAAGAGAAGAGAAGAGAAGAGAAGAGAAGAGAAGAGAAGAGAAGAGAAGAGAAGAGAAGAGAAGAGAAGAGAAGAGAAGAGAAGAGAAGAGAAGAGAAGAGAAGAGAAGAGAAGAGAAGAGAAGAGAAGAGAAGGAAGAGAAGAGAAGAGAAGAGAAGAGAAGAGAGAGAGAAGAGAAGAGAGAGAAGAGAAGAGAAGAGAAGAGAAGAGAAGAGAAGAGAAGAGAAGAAGAGAAGAGAAGAGACGAAGAGAAGAGAAGAGAAGAGAGAGAAGAGAAGAGGAATGAGAAGAGAAGAGAAGAGAGAGAAGAGAAGAGAAGAGAAGAGAAGAGAAGAGAAGAGAAGAGAAGAGAAGAGAAGAGAAGAGAAGGAGAAGAGAAGAGAAGAGGAAGAGAAGAGAATATAATAGTAAGATAAGAAGAGATAAGAGAAAGGAGAATAATTGAATATAAGAGAAAGGAGAATATAAGAGTAATATAATATAATATAAGATAGTATAATACTAATATAATATAATAGAATATAATAATATATAATACTTAATATAATATAATTATAATTCATAATATAATATTAATATAATATAATTACTATAATATAATATAAGATAATATAATATAATATAATATAATATAATAATATAATATAATATAATATAATATAAATACAATATAATCTAAACAATTTTCCAATTGGAACATTGGAATTTGTGTTTTGTTGGATTAACTCAAACAAAATTGTAGATTTGTTACAAGAGATGTAACAAATGAAATAGATTTATTTCGACTTGTACTAATTTCAAGGAACCTGAAATATACTTACTTCTCTTCAATAGCTGTGGAGACCGTTAATAAGTTAAATAAAAAGATGTAATGTAAATGTAGATTGTATTGTAATTTGGATTTATTGTTGTTTATAATATTTCAATGTTTTGTTTTGTACAATTTGATTGTTTTGTGAGATTTCACTGTTTTAGTTTATTTGTTCAGTGTTAATTGTATAAATTTTTTTTGTATTTTTGTTTTTAAATAAATATTTGTGTGTGTGGGAACCACTTCACTGTTTTAATTTTGTTTTTTTTTTTTGTTTGTGTAAATGTTTGTTTAGTTGTTCTTTTAAATAAACGTTTGTGATTTTGTTTTATTTAAATTTGTTGTTTATTTATTTAAATGTTTGGTTTTATTTTTTTGTTTTAATTGTTTTAAAAGTTTATAATGGCCGCTGGCGCTCGGGATTCTAGTCGAAGACTGACTTCTTCTTCTATTTAACCGCGTAAGCCCGGCTTGGGTCGTGCTTACACCGCCGCAGAATTTGTGGCCGATGCGGCTCAGTCGAGGTCGATCAAGTCGTTACCAGATCGATCCTCGACATCTCGCCCCTCTTGCACTGGTGCAAGATTCAAGGCCCCAGACAGCTGACCTACGGCTGAGACGATTCTTTGCACCAGCTCTTGGGCATCTGGAGCAGCACCAGTTCTTCTACGTATGTTACGTTGACGACGACGTAACGGTTGTTGAAGGCTACGTTGTGTGGTTGTTTGACGACGACGTTGGGGTTGTTGACGTCGTTGAGGTGATTGTTGTTGTCGACTACGACGTTGTAGTTGTCTGCGACGCCTTGTTTGTTGTTGTTGGCGACGTTGTGTTGGTTGCTGTTGCCGAAGTTGTGGTTGTTGTTGACGAATTGGTGGTTGTTGTTGCTGAAGTCGTGGTTGTTGACGAGGCTGTAGTTGTTGTTGACGACGTGATTGCTGTCGACGTTGATTTTGTTCCGGAAGTAACATAGTATGATGGAGATCTCCACACTCCTGGCAGGCTTCCATTGACGTACATCCTCCAATTAGATGCGTCCGGGCAAAGCAGTTACTGCAGTATCGATGTACCCGAACTACGTATTTTCTCTGCTTTACGGTCATCTGTTTAAACTGCTTGCAGAAGCGAAGAGGGTGGTAGCGGAAGCAGACCAGGCACATTTCTGACTCTGGGAACTGATCCATCTGCAAAGGGAAAAGAAGAACAAAACAAAGCAGCAGTAATGGGTTCGCTAACACAAATTTGAACAATTGGAACAGAACATATAGGACATACAGAACATACAATCCTAGTCACAAATCGGAAGCATGCAAAGTTTGTCTATTGGTCTGGTAACGGTTCCAGACGCTGTTCGGACGTCAGCTACGCGAACGCATTTATCTTTTCCAGTATGGACTAATTCAACTCGTCCCATTTTCCACTCATTTGGAGGTAGGAGTTCATCCTTTATGACTATAAAGTCATCTTTCTGCAAATCCCGCTGTGGGTTTTTCCATTTGTAACGCTTGTGAAGTTCATGAAGATATTCAGTCTTCCAGCGTTGACTAAGACGATGATGAAAGGCCTTGAGCCGCTCCCATCGGTTTATTATCGATAAATTCTCTCAAGGCAGTTCAGGGGCGAACATCAATGGAGCTCCTCTTAAAAAGTGACCAGGAGTTAGGGCTTGTAAGTCTTCAGGATCCTCGGACATTGGGGAAAGAGGTCTGGAGTTTAGGACACTTTCAATTCGGGGTTAATAGAGTCGAAAACTCTTCAAAGTTAAACTTTTGGTTGCCGGCTATTTTCTGAAAGTGAATCTTAAAACTTTTTACACCAGCCTCCCAAAGACCTCCCATATGTGGAGCACTAGGTGGAATGAACTTCCACTCAAAACCATGGACTGCATATTCTTTACTTATATCTTCTGCCGATTTTCGTAAAAATAAGAGAGATTCCTTTCGCAACGATCTACTGGCGCCGAGAAAATTTGTGCCATTATCGGACATAAGGCGTTTAGGCAACCCTCTTCTACCCGTAAACCGTGGGAAAGCTGCTAAAAACGCGTCGGAGGATAAGCTAGAGCACGCTTCCAAATGTATAGCTTTTGTTGAAAAGCAAACAAATATACAAGCGTATCCTTTCATATAAGGAGAGTTTCGCAAGTTACCTGATTTTATCTGAAAAGGTCCCGCAAAATCAACACCCGCATAAGTGAATGGTAAAGAAAAGGAGCATCTTTCCGGGGGCAGAGCTGCCATAATCTGAGACTTCAGCTTTTGCTTATAACGGACGCACACTAAACAATGGTGAACACATTTTTTAACAGTTGTTTTAAGACCTGGTATATAGAATTGACTTTGAATTGCATTCATCATTAGGGAAATGTCAGCATGCAACAGAGTTTTATGAGTAAAGTCAAAAAACATTCTGCAGAAGTTAGACGAGTTTGGAATAATGAAAGGGTACCTTTCATCATAGGTTAGGCATGAATTGGCTAATCTACCGTTAACTCTCATAGTTCCATTCGAATCCAGAAATGGGTTCAAAGTGAGAATAGAACTTTTCTTTGAAATTAGTTTCGCGTCAGAGAGCTGACTATACTCCTGGGGATAATAAACTCGTTGAGTTAGTTTGATCAGCATAACTTTTGATTCTTTAAGCTCCGTAAGGCTAAGAGTCAAACTAGAATGCTGAACCTTTAAACCTTTCTTCCTGATAGCGTTAATAAACCTGAGCACGTAAGCTGTAACAGCAAGAGCTCGAGGATAAGAGGAGAATTTATCGATTAGACTGTTGTCAGCCGGTGTTAAAAAACAAACTGAAATCTTCCTTTTTTCCGGAAGAACTTCAGGTAGAGAACTATATTTGGGCCAATTTGCTTGGGAATCCAAGAGCCACATTGGTCCATACCACCACAATGGGTTGTTAACAAGATCTTGTGGTTTACAACAGCGAGTGCCAAGATCAGCTGGGTTGTGATCCGTTGGAACGTGATTCCAACTGGCATTACCAACATTCTCTATAATCTGAGTTGTTCTGTTAGCTACATACGTTTTCCAGACTGATGGAGGTTTTTGTAGCCAAGCTAAACAATGGTTGAGTCTGACCATAAGTAAAGCTTTGGGCTGCAGAATGGAAGGTTCGTAAGTACTTGCTTTACGAGTCTGGAAAGCAGAAGAGCTC